TGAGAAGAAACAGACAAACAAACACAAAAAACCCGCGAATTCACTTCTTTTGCTGCCGTCGCCATTATTGTTGCTTAACCTCTCTACTTTGTAAGTATAACACCTGTGATCGAACAGGGCTTAAAAACGGCTGATTGGTCGAGAGGTTGTGACGTGAAAAAGCGATCTCGTGGTTACTACGCATGCGGAAAGTTAAGAATGAATGATCTTGTTGTCAATATGGCGGACGATCGGTGGCCGATTGGGAGCTGTATTTCGGCGCATTTTTCAAATTTCTTACCATATCAGGACGTGTTGCTACAGTAGTTGAGATTTATCAGTTTGTATTAAATTCCTAATACACAAAACATAGTGTTTCGGCTACTTAATCAATAGATAAAAGAGCAACATGTTTTGATGCAAGTAAGCGTCAAGGGAATCAACCGTCAACAACATACAACTCAAGTGGTTTGCGACTTTTGGTCATTGCCTTTTTTGTATGGAGTGGCTTCTAGAAGAGCCGTTTTGTGTTGGAGAAGTCTTTTCCATGGATTGATGACGGCCCCTCAAGCTTGACATTTGATTTCGTACGTTTAAAGATGCGCGAAGCGGGAAATTTCTTTTTCTGGATCATATTAAACAGCCCTCGTCGAAATCTTCTGCATCATCATCTGCTTTCTGGTGTAATGAATTCCCTTCGTCATCATCTTTATCGTCGCCATCGTTATTGTCATCATCTCCGGCAAGGTATCTGGAAATATTTTTTTTGTAACGTTCTGGTTATGTTAAATGCATGTTTGTATCGACGTTTGTGACAATGATCACGCGTGGCTTGCTTGCTGAAATTTTGTGAGCTTACTTGAAGTTGTACAAGTTATTGTTTTCTCTTTTACATGCTAAAAAACTCAAATGGTTCATGAATAGTAAGCATTATATAAAATTTATGTAGTAATTTCTTGTTTTCATTGTTACAACGATCAGTCTCGAGATCAGATAGTAAGGAAACACTGTTCACGTGATAACACATTTCTTTTTACCTGCTTAATGACTGAGCCAGTTCTTTCATCCTTTGTACCAACAAATTAAAGGGTAACATGAGGGGCAGTTTACTCCCTCCGTCCAGAAATAACTGTGGTCTGGGGATTGTTGGTTTGTGTTATGCACAACTGAATTATGTTTTCGAAGTTGCTGTTGTGCACATAGGTTGGCATGTCACATTTCAGGCAACAATTAGGCTCATGACCAGGAAAAGCATAGCCAAGGGGAAAGCAATGCTGGTCTAAATTAGCATTGCTAAATGGAAACTAGTAGCCTAGGGCTGAAAAACTAATGAGAATTAAAAATATATCTGCAAGGCTTGGCCGGGTTATTGAGATAGAATCAATTTTCACTTCTTTGTTTACATGACGAGACATTTCTTGAGTGACAGATGTAGAGACTGTAGATAATAATAATAATAATAATAATAATAATAATAATAATAATAATAATAATAATACCAGTATGAATATTATATCTTTTCAATACTTGATACTTTTTTCTTCCTTTGGAATTTTTTTTGCATTTTCACTCTTCTTCATCCACACGTCACTGAAGATGTTTATAAAAAATTCTGCTGCCGAAAATACCAGTGCAGGCAAATTTTTCCTTCCTCTCGCACTTGTGCACTGAGGTAGGAACCATTCAATAAACTCATTGTCATAGTTCTACCCCTGAGTGCATGGAATGTTGTTCTTATTTCAGGTGGCATTGCCCACACAGGAATTGAACATTCCTTATTTTTGTTGTAGTTCAATGAAGACAAATAGTTCAGTAATGACATTACGAGTTCAGTAAACATACACAAGCCTAATGACATTCCATTCTAGGTGCATGCATGGCCATTTATAGTCTTATATATGGTATTTATTTTTATTGCCTGGAAAAAAAGTAGTTCAATAACCACATATCAGGTCAATAATCACAATAGTTCACAAACCACACAGCAGCCCAGTGCTACAGCAATAATTCAAGGAATAATTGAAATCATCTATTTAATTCTTTTGGGAAGGATGTGGAGAGGGGATGGGGGATAGAGGTGGTGGTCTGTATTTACATAGCTGTTTAAAAATTATTATGCCTGATGAAAATATATTATGCTTTGACAGAAAGTTATGAAGAAGATAGAAGAAAAGTCCAGGAGTACACGACTTTGAAGATCAGCAGATATGGGGAATTTTTCTCTTGCATAGTTCAGTAAAGACACAGTAGTGAAGAAGAGATGTCCCAGAGTGCATAATGAAGAGGAGCAGTTGATAGAGAAAAAAGAGAGAAAACAGGGGAAGTTAGAATTGAATGATGCAAAAGACCAAAGAAAAAAATATTCTGTAATACATTGTTTTGCAGTTTTTACCTAGATGTACACCACTAAGTTTCTTTTCTGTCTTTTGGCACATCTTTAGTACTGCTCTCTAAATTGAACATTATTTTCACATTTAAATTGTTTTCCGGCTTGTCTTAAGATTTGGTTAGCCAAGCGGTCTAGCTGCCCAGCCATTACTTGTAGTTGGTCAGCCACTCGCTTGGCTTCAATGACTGCTTGTTTAATGTTTTGTTTCGTTTCGCTGGTTGCTACCAGGGCTCAAAATAACTGCCAATCAATAAACAATGTCAGGCCAAGGTGACCATTTGTCCAGACTAACTCTTGGTTTGCCAGCCATTTTGAGTGGACATGTACACTGCTAATGGATTTGAATTTATTTATATTTTTTCTTTTTAAGCTACTATGTTTAAATTATCCTCCTGGTATAAATCATCGTATTATTTTTAATATTTTGGACATGACCCCTCAAACAATAGACTTAACCGAGCTGATTTTCTTTGGCTGGTCAGAATGACCAGCAACAGTCAAAAAATTATTTTTCTTTTTACTCAGACTACTTAGTTTTGTACTTCATGTACATTTCGCAGTTTTTGCATGTATAGCCCTATTTTAGAAACCTCTTGGCTCTACTGAAATATTTGGCTATTACTTGTAGTAAACTACTTGGTTTCGGAACAAACTCAGGCTATGCAAGACTGCCGCATGCAACCCTTGATTTTTGGGGCTTTCTTCTTTTCTCTGAAAGGGTGTGGTTTTCATCAATGAATATTGCATCAAAAATGTCTTGTTAAGTTCCAGCTGCATGCTTGTCACAAGCATTTTCCATTTTAGATGGGACATAGAGTTTTTCCTCCATTGTTATAGTGTCTGATGAGAGCCTTGTGGAATTTTAGGAACAGTGTGCTAAATAATGTACCCCCCTTGTGAAAAAGAATTTTACAATAAGGCAGAAGTAATGATGTAACTGCAGTTGCCATTTTCATGTTACTTGTGAGAATTGCCTATGTACTACAGAGATAAAACTTTAATTTACTTAATTTCTTACAGTCAATTGTGTATATTTGCTCGGGACTGTTAAAAGGACTTTTAGAAGTGGTTACCTTTCAATTTTCTCTTCTACAATATTATAGTATCGTTCAGAAAGTCCTCTGGAGTTGAGCACTTTTGCTGAAAAATGTCTGTCAGATATGACATAATACATAACAGAGTCTCATGATCAATACGGTGATTGGATGCCTTTTGTATACATCAGTAATGGTGTAAATAGGTCCAAAGTACACATGTATATGTCTTGTTTGCAATTGTGTACAAAAACTACAATGGCTACCTTATTTTTTCTAGAAGTATTATTTAAATTCTCTTTCCTTTCCCAGGCCCCTTTCCTTCTCCAGGATTACAAACGTTTGTTTGAGTTCTCCATACTTTGGGCTCTGGTCTGTGGACGTTCATGAGCAACAGTTTCGTTTGTTTCCTTTAGTTTTCTGCAAATGGTACTTTTACAAACAGATACACTTCCAAAATAACCACGGGATCGTCCTTCTATACCCGTATATACAAACACGTCTCCAACAGGCCGGAAGCGAGCCTTCTCTCATAAAAACAAAACATCATGAAAAAGATTAAAAATAGGCCGATGACAGGCTGGTTATAAGCTCAAATAACATCATAACATTGGAGACGCACGCGGCCAGCCGCAGAGTGTAGCTCGCGGTGACAGGAAATTAAAACACAACATGGTACACAATGAAGTCGCATGAAGTTTAATAATTTCAAGTTTTCTGAACACCGTCACTTACAAAACAAAGCAAAATTATGGTTATCAACAGTGTGTACAAGACTTTGTACGCCTAAATATACAGTAAATATGAACTAATCTTTCAACTATCGGCCGGAATCCTATTTCAGTTTCTCTTACCAGCCGCAAGAGATGAGAGTAAAGACAGCAAAAACAGAAAAATGCAATGTTCTGTACTCACGAACTGCACCTTCATTTCATCCATATGCAAAGTCAACGACGCCCACGAACAAGAAGCGATAAAAAATTTTCATCAGAACGAAAAAAAAGTCATATTTGATATTTTGTACAAGAATGAATAAGCTACAAGAAAATGCACTTTAAAACCTTATAGAAGCCGAGACCACCTTATATCACGGCAAAACTGTACCTTGACTGAATTCTGAAAAGGTGAAATATTGTTTTAAAAGGCGTTGTGTTGATCGCTTCATTAAAATCACACCACCGTTCCGATTTGTGCCGTCGTGCCTCAAACCCAAACAACAGTCTTCGTTGTGTTCAGTGACGCAGAATTTGAAGGCCTTGGGCGAGCAAGATGTCGCAAATAGCCGTCAGAATGACGTGTAGAATTTTCATTCGTCGTCCGCCATTTTGAAAATCGAATGGCGGGAAGAACCCCAGAGTTTTAATGCGCATGTCCAGCCGTTTTTAAGCCCTGTCCCTGTGATCCTGTGACAGCAAGCATCTTGTATAGGGGGAGGGGTGGAGGGAATAGTACTTCTTGCGACTCTATGCTAAAGGGGTGGAGGAGGGGGCAGGGAATATCACTTATACAGCTGTAGGTACTTTGTGCTAAATGAAACCGGCCCTTTTTATCTCTTAGAGCTCCTTCATGCCTTCACTCCACCCTCCCCTCCCTACAATCTACCTTGATAACAATACCTGTGATAGGAAGCTTTGCTCAGGATCAGGGGTGATTTCCAGTCGCGTGACCTTGTTAAAAAGCTCATAAGCCTGCAGTACATCAGGCACTCCACATTTGGTAAAGAATTCCACCACGTTTGTACAATCCCTGAACAGGAACTCCAAGGCGTGCGGGTGGAATGGTTCCACGGACTGACTCACGTCAATAAACCACACCTTGTTTTCATGCCAGAGCATGTTGTACTCGCTCAGATCCGCGTGGATTAGCTTACACTTTTGATACATTGTGCACATTATCTAAAAAATAGAAGACTCATGCGATTAGAGTGCTTCTGTCGGCAATTATCACAACTCTGTGTAATACATGTATCACACATCTAAAGAAATTCAAGGTTAGTTTCTAAAGAAATCGTGGTCGCCTGTCGGGGGGGGGGGCTGGGGGGGGGGGTGAAATAGAAAAATTTGGTTTTGACAACTGAGGAGATAGAGTAAGTCGGCCACCATGTAGAGGTTGAGAAGCCGACGTTTCGAGTACTAACTCTTAGTATGGTTTCCATTTGTCGGAACTGCCGGGCTGGCCAGACCAGTCCAGTTGTATGGAGAATTCCACAATTAAATAGGACTATCAAACCAGATCAGTCTGGATAGGGGGGAAATTTTGAGAAACGACCAAATTTTGTTTCAAATAGTGAGCTTAAGCAACGACGACGGCAACGACATCGAAAACGTCACCCAAAAAGTGAATTCGCGCTGAATCAAACTTCATGGCTCTTATTAGAACTCTTTTAAATTGTTACATGTTGGCGACTTTTTCAGGAGTTGAATTCTAAAGGACTGTATCTAAGTTCACAAAAAGAAAACGAAAATCGTTGTCTTAAGTTCACATCCTCCACAAACGTGAAATTAGGCAGTTTCACGTCGTAGTCGTGCAGTGGCGGTAAAGAAATGTACAAAAAAGCGTGACGCGCGCGCAAAGTTGTAGCTTTGCCAGCCTAAGGGCCTGTTAACATGGAGGTGGGGGGAACCCAGGTAGGCGAGGTAACCCGCTTAGGTGGGGTAACCCGCCTGCCCATATAATCTCTCATTTTAATTTGATCACGTTTACATGATAGGTGGGGTGACCCTCCGCATGTTACCTCACGTATCCGCTGTCCCCACCTTCAAGTAAACAGGCCCTAAACCTATTGCTTTTTTGCCGTTCTCGTTGCCATCGCCGTTCTCGTTGCTTAACTCCCTAATGATCAGTCCCGCCGGCCGGTTCTGACTTAAGGTAAGCGCCCGTGGTCAGAGCGAATCTGATACGATACAGAAATGCACGCAACACCGCTCGAAAAGTTGATATTCCAGATGTCACTCGATGCTAGTCTGAAACATCATCCGTCTCCTGACCCCACCCGCCAGCGGGCTGCAAAGCGAGAGAGACTTGCCGCCCGTTAGGGGCGGGGCGAGGAACCGGATGACATTTCAGATTAACTGCCTCGGAACCTGCCGCATTGGGGCATAGAGACCGTGGCCATGATATAGAGATTATTATGATAACTGTATATTCTACCATTTGAGGCCGTAACCTGACCGAGTGGAGGCCATTATGTGAAAGTTTCAGTAACGGTAAATCTTGCCTTTAACAGACTAGTGCAGTTCACGGCCAACAGTAAATGGGGCACTTACGTTCGCCGTTCACCATAAAAGCGTTTTCCAACGTTATTATTAATAATGTTCTCAACTCTTTGTTTGTGATCTTGTGCAAATTTTCAGAAAAAACACCCTCTTGGTAATCTTTGTCTAGACACAGCCCAGGAGACCACTGACATTCTATAAGTACATCTATCCTAGCCTACAATACATCTTACCTCAACACATTGCTCATAAGCCTGTTGCAACTGTCGCGAGGAAAGAACAGCGTCTTTCAGTTTAGGAGCGGGTTTTTGATCCTTGCCAATAAAACTCATGACCAGGATATGTTTCTTTAGCAGTGCAACAGTAGGGCAAGGGATACCAGCTTTACGCATCCTGCAACAAAGTTTAGAAATCAAACAGGAGGTTTAACCCAACGACGACGGTGACAGCAACGAGAACATCAGGTTATCAAGCAAAACTACGACTCTGGACGTTAAAGGGACTGGTTCACGATAATGCGCATGTGTGAGTTCTGACAGTAGCTGATTGTTTTTCAACCAATCGGCGGCGAGTTAGATGCACGCAAGTAAATTAAAATTGTTCGCGACGCGAGAGTATTTCCGGGCATTTGGTTTGATTTTATTTATCCCCATAATTCAAGTTTATTCTTTGCTACTCCTCAGATATATGTTGCAGCCGATAAGAATAAGATTTACAGCCCTGTCCTGCTTTGAAACAAACATTTACCAACGTGTATTTGTACGACGTCGTACCCACGCTAACAAAACAGTCACCGATCGGCAAACAAAATTTGTAAACAAACATCTTATTACTGTTTTCTCAGTTCGCCTTATATAAATCCAGAAATACCTACAAAAAGTGCCTGACCGGTGACAAAAACACACAACGTATGAGTATAAAGATTATCCTTAACTGAGCATAAATTTCAATTGCTTAAAGGACATGAACACACAACGGTGAAGTGGTTTACGGTCGTTTCGCCAAAGAGTCGTTTCGCCTACGTTCTGTTCGCCTACGTCTTAAGTCGTTTCGCTCATCGTTAGTTCGTTTCGCTTACGTGTTTTCATTCGATTACTCGATTTTTACTTTCGTTGAGACGAAGTTACATTGATAAAACAACGTGACATGGTCTCTGTGGGCTACGTGAAATAACCGCAATACCATCCCCAGTAAATTCAAACGCTTTCAGGTTGTTCATGGGAGCCCCAAGCAGAAGTAGTAATTCACAGAAACGAAAGATATCAGGTATCATCGAGAAGTCGAAGGAAAACAAGTTTCTTCTAATTCTAAAAGTATTTTTGCGAAAAGAATTTGTCTTTCATATAGCTGATGTTGGATAACTGTTCTTAGTCAGTAAAAATCTGCACAATACAAGGCGGAGTGACGAAAGAGATAACAAACCTGCTAAGGTTACACATTTCCTTCTCTGCCCACAGCTTGATTATCTTTCTTGGATTCTGTTTGCTGAAGCGGTCTCTAAAGCGATGGTCGTCTTTGATATAACGGTCCCTTGTCTTGAATTCGTTCAGCGTTGTCTTGAACACTTTTACTGCACATTCTTCTGGCATTGGTTCTTCTTCTCGCCTTTTGATGTTGAACAGTAAAAGGAATGACAAAAGGGTCACTACTAAATTCAATTGCCTCCAACCAGGGGTGCTTCAAGGGGATTATAAAACTGTACCTTGGGTTTCTAAATAGCGATACTTAAGACAAGATATGTCTATTACTTTTCGAGTCTCACACCAAGCTACAACATCAACTTCATCGAAATTACCTCAAATACCTTGGTCTAAGTAAATTAGCTGGGAGTTTCATATCGGGTAGTTAGTGAGGGGTGGGGCTGGGTGCATATTGTTCATCCCCTACACCCCCCTCATTCGTCAAAAGACTGAAGATTCGACTTCTACTTCATAAAGCAGTTAGAAGGTTTAAAAGGCTAACTAATTCTGAAGCTTCGCTTACGGCTTTCCTGAGAAGGCGACAATTAGTGAAAACGTGTCCAAGTAGAGCTACAATATTGGACAAAATAAATGAGAAATTTCCCAAATTTCGTTAAAAAGACTATATCATTAAAAACTGAATCATTGGATAATGCAATTATAGAGCTCTGATTGGCTTGGCCATCCTGGAATGTAAGCCATTATACAAAGCTCTCCAAATAAATTCGGGAAGAATTCTCGATATTTTGTGGCTATCTGCCATCTCATATCCTACGCGCACTCGTGGAATAATTGTTAATTATCTCACGTTAGTGATGGATCTATTTTACCAACCTTCCTCCATTCGCATGGAACACGCAGGCCTCCTTTCCAGTACTGACGCAGCCATTTACAGCTTCAAGAACTTCGCCATTCACCAGCTTGTACAACATCAGCCGGGTTTTCGGGTCTAGCACTTGCTCCTAAAAAAACATTGCAGCAAAAACAATCAAGACCAGAAGAAAATTTGTAAAACGTTCAGAATCAAATCAGACCGAATAAAACTCCTGCTAAAGAGGCTTTCATTTTTGTTTTTGTTTTTTAGACCATGCTATCGAGCCAACTTTAAAAGATTCAAGTATTAGACTGTGCAGCAAGCGATTCTATGCAAGTTGTTTGCGAAAGTTGGAACGGAGAGATCCAACTAGTCTTGAACGCAGCCGTTTTCTTCTCATCATGCAATGCTCCTGGAAGGGAGAGAAGAAGCATTGCGAGACAGGACAAAAAAGGGCTGCGTGAAAGACTATAAGGTTAAAAGATTCAAGTATTAGCCTGTGCAGCAAGCGTTTCTGCGCATTCTCATCATGCAACACTCCTGGGTTGGAGAGCATTGCGTGACAAGAAGCATTGCATGACAGGACAAAAAAGCTGCGTGTAAGACTACAATGGATCCAACGTTGTTTATCCATTTCCTCAAGTCAAGTCCACAAATCACCAAGGGTAGCCTGTGAATGCAGACCTTTTTCAGATTGTCGCTTCTTTCCATGACCGAAATAACGACTGCATTCGCAGGCTGCATCAGGGAAGCTTGTTTGCATGGTAGACTCCTTCCTACAGTTAAAACTATTTACTCACATGTGTTGCATGTTCCTTCTTCTCGTGAAGTCGAGCACTTTGCCTTTCCTCGCGGTAAGAGTGCTGTTTTAACGTATTGAACACACTGTTAGAAAGCTTGAGGTCAAGCTCTTCACTGCCCACATTTCCTGCGGCAAAACTTGGTGGAAACTGAAATTAAATAAGAAAATAGCAAGATCAATAAAGAAAATGTTTACTCTATAACACCATTTTAGTTGTAAGCAAGCTCAAAGTCTGGGGTACATGTAGCCCCTACGCTGATATTCTTACGGCTTTGTCATGATTTCCTGCCCCACAAATGGGGCCTTACAAACGTCTCAGGGTGCGAAGAATTCAGTTTTACAGCCTGCCATTCGGGCAAGCTGTAGCTAGAATGTACTAGCCCACAAGTCATTTCAACTAGCCCCAAAAAACCCTTTTTTATTAGCAGGATTGATTATAATCCTTCTGTAATTTGAATTTTCCCAGAAAACAGCACTTGTCTGTGGGGCAAGTTAAGAACAAAAATCACTAGTCAGATAGCAAAATCCACTAGCCCACAGACTTTCTGCCGGGCATGGGAGGCTAACCCTGGGTTACAAACAAAGATTTGTACAGGGGATACTTTACCCCAGGGTCTAATTCCTTAACCTTTGAAGGGTGGTTATGTGTGATATAAATACAGTGGAACCTCCTTTTAAGGAACCTCTATATACAACACAGTCCACGGTATATCAACTGACACTCGTCAACAGGTAATAGTAAAATATATGGAAAAATTTTGCGTCTAGATCAGAAGGCTGTAAAGTGTACGACCTGTAAATGGCTTTGCGGTAACGCTCTTAATAGCCAGACAGTCACCAGAAAAGGGCTCTGGTAGCTTCAGAATGTGTTTTAAGGCAAATTCCCAGGAGTAAATTGGTTAATATTTGAGTATAAAACTTAATGAGGGGGACGTGGATGGTGAGGTGAAAAATTTTTCTTTTCCACCGTATAAAGTGGGGGCCGGGGGTGGGCGGGGAGGGGGGTTTCTGGAGAGGAGAGCTTAATAGGAGATATATAATACAATAAAAACCAATGTCTTCAAAGAAGGCATCGTGATACAAAACGATTTTGGTGTTTTTTTTAGTATTTTGGTATTCTGGAGAATGGAGCAATTTGTTATCATTACACATACCTTTTCCATGATCTTAACATTGCGACGCCCACACACTGTTGAGTCATGTTTGGTGATAATCTCTTTTTTCTTGCCAGGTGATTGATTAGGTGGAGGTTTAGGAGGTGTAGGGTGGTCTGCAGGTTTATCAAAGACAGAGGACCATGCAGTTAAAATTGTTGCAAACTGTAAGTATCCATTCCCACCTCCTCTATAAACCCAACATGATAAACACTAACTTTTTTCCTTATGGGCAAATGTTAAGGGAGGGGTGGACGGGTAGATTGCCAGAATCATACTGACTATTTATACTTAGGTATGCAGGGTTCAAAATGAATAATAGCCACATGTGGTCTTTTTTACCATGCAGTCAAGTGCATCGTTTTCAAGTATAATTTTTATAACCCGAAAAAAAAAATTTATTCACATTAATTCTGTAAAATAATTACAATAGAACAGTCAAATCATAAAATATTTTAATCATTTTCAGTTAAAAATAAGGAGAATACAGATGAGACGCTGTCTGACGTTTTCGTTCAGCAGCTTTGTGAATGTCACTTAGTGGTACATGTAATACAATTGCTAGCTATAGTTTTCACAAGCCATGAGACACAACAGAGTTAAAAGTTGTTTGGCTGGTCAACATGACCATACTTGATGATGAGTAAGCAAAAAACTTCAACCTATAACATATATTGTTTTAAAAAATACTGGGCGTTAAGCATGGTGGTTACATGAGCAATGCTACAGGCAAAGGATTGAAGAGTCAAAATACAAGTAGAGTCTATAGTAAGTAACCTTAGAGATTAATGAGTAAAGGGTTTGATTGTGAAAAATTAGGAAGATTTAACAACAAAGACAGACAACAGTGAGCACACAGGCTGGGATCCACACCGGTTTCCACTGTTTTACTGAAATCGGTCACATTTTTAATAATAAATATATATTTAACAATCAAAAACACTTTTCAAGTTTAAATCTGGCCAATACATTCCTGTTTGGATGTCTTGGAGACCCAGGAAAAGGAACTTTAAGGAGTAAAAATCTAAAAAATGTCCTGGGGAAGCCTGCCCCTGGACCCCACTAGAAGGCGCTTGTTTAGGAAATCAGTATCTATCCTAGATCTGTACCTGGGCACAGATATAAAAACTACCATATTATTGTTGACAGATCAGAGCGGCAAAATAGGCTTTGGAAGTTGAGCTCTTTGTAAGAATGATACCTACTATCAGATGAACCGACAGTTTTTCTGAGTATCAATAGTGAGCTAACAATAACATCATACAACAATTAAGTTACTTTACCCAGATCATCCTCATCCCACTCATCTGAATCTGAAGAACTTGATGAATCTTCTTTTAGCATTGGATGGACATTACGAAAATGATCAAATGACACCGACACTGAAAGGAGTAAAAATACAAAGCAAAGAATAAATGGCTAACTACAATATTTTGGGTTAGGAATATTATTTTGGCCATTCAACTGTTGTTTCCTTAAACGTGGCTAAATGTAAATTCAGTTTAGACTAAGTTAAACACAAGACAATGCTGGCATGCGGTCTCCATAACTAATTGTATATGGAGAAGTCTTGGGTATTTGCAGGGCTCTAGTTTACAGTTCGAATGTTTTAAAATCACTTTTACTACCACATGAGAAATTTCTGCAATTTGATTGGCTTGGAGCAGTGGTATTTCAGCTTAATTTGAAATACCTACATGTGAAAATTACAAACCTTTTGTGGGTAGTAGTATAAACAAATAATACCATGATTTGTACGTGATATTTGGCATAAATACCATTTGCGAAATTTTAAAATTGTATCAAATTTACATACAACAATTTTGAAATGTCACTCGTGCTATTTAAGCCAAATATCACTACAAATCATGCTATTACCTATACTAATATCACGAAATTTAATACTCGTGAAAATTAGTAAGAATAAGGTACTTTAACTATAATTATTATTTTTTCTTTTTGCTATCACAAAAATAATACAGAAATGTGATACCAAGTGGCAACAACCTACAGGAAACCATTCTAACTACATACCTTTGCTTTCTCCATTGTATCTCTTTTCCATCGAGTCAATTGAACGATCATTCTCTTTATCATATTCAAGCTGAAGCATTTGGGCCAAGAGAAAATCATTTTCAGTGTCTGGACTAGAGCTTCCTGGAAAACAAAACCATGCCAAGTAAGCCTGGATATTTTTTTAAAAAATTTAAACTGACCCCTCAATACATCGTAACTTTTTAGAAATGACCCACATAAATTTTATATACATGTATTGTGAAAGTCACCACCTTTACCTGATTGCAGTGGAAACTGGGAATATTCCAGCTACAAATCATGTCAAATTTTGGTTTATTATTTACCACTGAACTACAGAAGAACCTTGAAACTTGGACAACTCTAATTCCCAGCTAACTCAAACTGAATTTCCTTTCCCTTGAACTGAAATTTACCCCGATAACTTGAATTCCCTGCTAACTCAAACTGTTTTCTGTTTCCCTTCAGAGTTCCACAGTTCTACTGTACATTCAATTTCAAATCACAATTGATACTGCTTTGTACTACTTTCATGAAATTTATTAAAATGGCCCCCACATGAAATGTCAAGATTATGTCTATCAAGATTTTGAAAATGATGCCCCAGCAACATTTTTTCTCTACCCCTCACCGGCAACAAAATGACCAGCCTCTTAATGCAGACACTAACAGTACACGCCATGGTGTCCGTATTACCCCGGTGACCATGATTTAAGCAGGCTGCCAAGGAAAAAAAAACCTCACAGACACATTTTCTCCCGATATAAACATACCAAGGAGCAATGACTGAAGTAAAAAGCCAACGAAACGGATCGTCCCAAAAAAGTCACACTGTTACTTAAACAATCAATATTATTACATGTATAGTACCTTTAAATATTGACTCAGGAGAATCAACCGTGCTTCCTTGTAAGTGATAACCCGCGAGATAATCTTCTTTAGCTTGCAATTCTTTAGCCACTTCTTCATCCATAACAGCAGAAAACGAGCAAGGTACAACATTTGGAGTCTTCCCCCATGGACTTTTAGTTGGTGTGTTAGCAACAGAACTATTTACAACGATACTTTCCGAAACTTCCATAATTTAAAATAATTTCTCTTTTTTACAATTCTGTACAAATATAAACTTATTTTCAAGATTCTAAATAGGTAAATTAAAACTTTCGATTCGATGCGTACGAAGGAATGTTGTGTTCCGCTGAAACGAGCGAGGAAATATATGGCGAGATTTTCGTGTCTTCTTTGGGCAATAAAAATTAGAATTCTTCACGTGCCTATTTAAGAAATCAGACCTGTAAGAACGTGTTTCGTTCCGTGGAAAGACTGTTTTAGATGATGAAAATAATCGCCTTATAAATTCTGAAAATAGTAAATTTCTGGTTGTGGTGCAATTATCGCGCATGCACAAATTAACTGTGTTCACTGACCACGTGCACAGCCTACCCAGCATTTATTGTATTTGGTGCCATTTTATGAATTTTTTTGTCTGAATTTACTAATCCAGATAAATATTCTCAGTTTAATGGCCAAGTTTGAAAACAATTGCTGAGCTTGACACTGTGACAGTGTCAGGCCGCAGTTTTAAAATCTATTCCCCGTGCTTGATTTTAGCATGGGTGTAAGCCATCTTGATCAGTATCGGAGTGAAGCTGGAAGCATTGTCACTGGTTAAGTGGTTATCAGTGAATGACAGGTATCAGTTATAAGCAGGGCGGATAAAGGTTGGGCGGTGAAACGCGGGCGTCCGAGCAAAAAGGTGTGATGCAGTGGACTGGGACTCTGCTAAGAAATGTCGCTCGTTTTCGACTCCGGTCAGGGCTTGCGATGTGGTTTTTCCATTAGACACTGCCGCTGTCACTGAATTATGGCGGCTTGATTTGTTTTCTTGCACTTCTTCCTCCTTCCTTTGTGCTGGTACGCTGTCTCCGAGAGACAAATGTTGCAATTTTTTGCGGGAGGTTTAGTTGGAGTAGAAGAACATCTCTTTCAAAGGGTTTCTCTTATTACTTCCATGACTCTACTACATTTGTACTTTTTCGTTCTAATACTCGCCAATGTCGATGTTATTCCAAACAAAAAACAACTAAGTACTGTCTAAAACACGAAGGAAATCTCATCCATGGCAAAACTAAAAGACAGCAGACCGTGTTTCATATCTAGATGACGTGTATTTTATAAATGTGTGCAGCTCGTGCAAGGTGAAATTATGCTAATTTCAATCACCATCATCCTTCTTTTTAATTTTGAAAAAAAAAAAACCTCTCATACGTCTTTCTGTTTCTTCGAAAGTTCAAAATTAGTTTCCCCTCAGTTTTTACTCTTTACCTTGTTTTGTTTTCGAGAGAAAAACGGAGAAAACACCTTACAACTAACCTCAATAAATTTTGTTTACATGCGGTTGCCGGATTTGCGACGCATTGCGCGAATCGCTATGGCGCGTTGCACCCGAGAAGCTTAGTTTGAAGCCGTACAACGCCACTATATCAAAATATATCAATCTAATTTTTTGTTATGTTATATAAAATTTATCCCCCTTTAACATATGCAAAAATTGAGGTTAAGAAGTGTTAAGCTTTTGCAAACGAAAAGGCGAAAGACGATTAGGTGACTTTAGTAGAAGGAGGAGGTCTTCAACACTTTCAAATTAAACTCAAATTTTTTCATTATACGTCTAACAAGTTTGACTTATAGGCATACAGACACAAACATATGAAACTGTTTATTGATATTGTCATGAAACGAATTTATCTATTTGACATTGTAGCCTGAAATTACAGAAAGAAAATAGGATTTCCGGTTTCCGGCTCTTGTGCATTTAAAATGCTTGTTTTGTTTCCTCGCTAAAATGCTTTACCGTAATGCTCCATTTTTTTTCGAATAACATGCTCACCCTAAAAAAATTCACTAAAATGCGCGACGATGAGATGATGATAAGTATAAGTGCTAAAACAACCAGAATGTATGCTAATGGATTTAATACACCAAAAGACAATTGTCTAAACAGTGGCATTTGAAATTATTTTTATTTTGACTTTTGAGAGTTTATTTTCTATTTTCATTTTCTCTGAAAAAAAAAATTCCGGGAAATTGCACCAAAATTCTCGAAAAAAAATGCTGGCATACAAAAGTCTAAGAAGAGGAAAGCTGTTCAGGCTTACTTTATTATTTAGTTTGGAGGTGTCTGTGGTACCTGTATGGTGGCATTTTTACTGTTAATGGCTTTACTTCGGTCTGTAGCTCAAAAAGCACCAGAAGTTTAATTATTTGTTCAATTTATATTATAGCAAACAAAAATAACCCCAAGACTGAAGTCTCTAATAACCTTTCTGGAGTGAAAAACATCACCCACGAAACAAGACAGTTATTAAAATGACCCGCTCGGAACCCGCTCAGTTTAGACTTAAAGGAAAAGAAAACTGAACACTTTTGCTTTACATGTAGGACTTCTTTCAGGTTAAAGTATTTGCTCCACGCTTAAAATTGCGCTTGCTGAGCTTCTCTTCTTGCATCTAGTTTTAAAGTACCAGAAGTTGCTACATTTTCAGGAGCCATTTTATCCATTTGGCTGGTGGGTAGCATTTTCGGATTTCTTATAGTTTCTCGCTTTTGATCTTGGCTAAAAGAAGCGAGCTAAAACTTTTTACTCCGCTGATTCCCCTTGTAGACAGACCATTTCAATTTTAACAGGATCACCTAGAATCCGCTAAAAAACTCTGCATCGTTCATTGAAGCTCAAGAGGTTTTAACGGTTGACATCTGTCAATCAGTAGGATTTTAAATGGCTTCCCAAAAGCTTGAAAACGCTATTTTACATTTTTAAAAAGGTACCTTTTTCGCACTTTTAACAACATCACTTCCAACTGCAAAAAAGGTACCATTTTGACGCTTTTGAGAACATCACTTCCAACTGCAAAAAAAGGTACCTTTATGCGCCTTTAATGAGATCGCTTGAAAGTTACAAAAAGATACGGAAACCTCCTTCGCGCTTTAAATCATCGTTTGGTAAAGTAAGAAATGGATGAAGAGCGGACAATATTGACGTCAAAATATCATTCACTCAAAAGATGAAAATACCTGACGTCTTTTTCCAAAAAAGGTACCTTTTCTTAACTTTTAACCTAAACGACAAGCATAGACAAAAAAAGGTAACAAGTTTGCATTTTGTTCTTCAGAAAATGAATGCAGAAACTTAGTTTTTCTGCTGGTTTTAACTAGCAGAGTTGAACTTTTTGTTAAAAAGTACAATTGCCGTAACCTTTCACTGATTTATGTGTTCTAAAGTTAACTGAATTGTGGAATACAAGTTTATTGTTTGATTTAAATTATAAATATATTAATGGGAGCCTCGCTTTTAGCCCTGGCTAAATCTATTTAGTATATACTAAAACAGTGGATAGTGTTTTTCGCGCGCTCTGATTGGCTACTCAATCAGTGAGTATCCTGCACTATTCACTGATTCACCTCCAGTTCCTCGGAGCGTGCGACGCCAAACTCGCGTAAGTTGCAAGCAAAATGCCTTCCAAGGTTTGCTGCCGGAAACAAACAAAGAAATTTCACAACTAATTAAGCAAGCTGTTTCCGAAATACACGAAGAAGGTGACTAAGTTCGGATTGGAAGTTTTAACAGCTAAAGCTTTTTCTTTTTGACACGAATTTATCGATAAAACCGCGCGCGGTGAAAAAGTTTTTGTTTACAAATGCAAATTAAGCATAACTCTTGCTTACTTTATTTAGTTGAGTTGTTCATAAATAAGCTTAAAACTAAATTCAATAATCTTTTTTTTATATAGACAGTGATTTTAAATACAAAAAGGATTCACAACTCCTTTTGAAGAAATTTCCTCGCAAGAGCTAAACAAATGCCTTCAAAAGTTTTAGTTGTCGGCAAGAAAAAGCGACGGCCGCGGCCGCCCGGCCGGTCATTACGCGCCAAAATTGTAATCGTTGGCAACAGTATTTGAGTTAAAAATCGTCATTTTTGTGCTCAATTATCTCAGGACTAGCCACCTCCACTTCGGTGAATAATTGTTGTATATTACTTAGCGCCCAGGCTAGGAGATACGAAGAAGATTCGCTAATGCATGGTTCAATTTGACCTGTTACCATCCCTCTGGGCAACCCCCGGGACAAGTGGGAATATTTCGTTTGAATTTCCGTAAACGTTCGTTTACAGGCGAGGATCATACCGGTTTCCACCGTTTTACGGAAATCGGTTAGAGTTAATAAATATATTGTTTAAAAAAAAAACCTCCAAATTGAAATCGAGAGATGAAATAAGGTTGCCGATTTGCAAGGCGTTGACCGAGAAGAATGGAATTGGCCAGCAATATCCTGTCTGATTCAGAAATCTAGGAAATTTTCTGAGGGGGCATGCCAGCTAAAACCTTGGGCCTTCAGCGCCGGTTCAGGCCGAATCGGTCAGTATTTATCCTAGATCCGCGCCTGGTTTATAACGAAACCCTGGGCTTATATTATACAACTTCGTAATAGGTTTTAGGAGGGCTTCTAAACGGGAGGACTTTCCGGGGGGCGGGGGGGCTCATGACCGGACTAAAAAATTCGTTTCAAAACAAGATACATAGTAGTGCTTATCAAAATATTTCTTGAATTTACTCGCTTTTATAAGCTTCAAAAAGTCGTAAAAAATCGAATTCATTTCAATGCAAGCTAGATGAGGGGTTATTTCCTGGGGGGGTGGGGGGGGGGGGAAACGAAACCTAAGGAATTTTGGTGGTGAGAGTAAGTGAACGAATAAGGAGATGGTGGGCGGGATCGCTTATTATTGGGTATGCTTAGAGGTGCTAGTACTCTACTGTGTACTGTACGGCGCTTGTGCTGCGTATAATTGCGCAAAACACCTGTAAAGTCGAATTCATTTCAATGCAAGCTAGATGAGGGTTTATTTCTTGGTGGGGTGGGGGGGGGGGGGGGTCAAAAACCGAATGTATTTTTTTTTTTACAGATAGAGGGACCAATAACTGAAGGGGGGGGGGGGGGGCTTATAAGCGGAATTTTAAGAGGGTACTCAAACTTCAGCTCAAATGAAACGAGACTACCCCACTGAGAACTTGAGATCACGTGACCTCACAGATGAAGTTCGGCTGATTCAAACGAAATGTTCGCGATAACTTTTAAACTTGACGGCTCTGAGTGGGACCATATTATTTGTCAAACTGCCACACTAGTTTGCATTGCCTCTAAGCCTTTCGTGATCGCGTGTCTCAGGGTAAACTAAACTTAATTTCAACCTGCCAATTTTGACTGACATGTAGTCAGCAATTATAGTTAACATAATGAAAACCCCTTTTACTTCAGTTTCAAGCTCAAAAAATTTTCGAAACATTATATTGTGCACTTATATGTAAAAATAAGCTGGATGCAAA